TCATAAAACTCATTTAGATGTCTCCTCACTGTAAAAATTTGCATGATTTTGTATCAGGAAAAAAAATAAAAAAAATAACCTTCAACCAGGCGCTTTAAATGTTCGTGTTCAATGTAAGGAATGCCGGGAGCGTGTTTTAATACAGCTGCTGCAATTTCTTTGTAATCAAGGCTATCGATCTCCTGAAGAAACAAAATATCTTCAGGCAAGCTCAACAAAAATTTCATCCAGATCGACTTAAATTATTCAAAATTTAAGCTTACAAAATATTAAAAAAAAAGAATTTCGGAAATTATTTTACTAGAAATTTCAGCTCTGTTTTCAGCAGGCAAATACTAACTCGTATTTCATCCGGCTTTTTAGCATCAATCTGCCAAAAGCAAATGACACCACTCGTACGGTCAAATAATTTGCAAAGTTTCGGCGATTCGTCGCAATTTACTGCGGCTGTAGTTACAAGACCATGCAGACTTGCCGCAAGTTTTCTCCTTCAACATTATTCTTTAGAAACAGCAGGATTAAAAAAAATCACACTTTCTACAGTAAGAATGAATGTGCGGATTTTTAAGGACAATGTTATTTTTTAATGCACAAAATTTAATAAACAGCAACGCGCACCAGACTAGCCGATGCGATCATGCGTTTTGTGCAATTCAACCCATCGAATGATTGCCTATTAATGATTTTCACTGCTTTGTACTTAGTCTATGCAAAAATAGTTCAAACATTGAAAAACAGTTAAAAATTTCACGCACCATCGCATGAAAGCTGAATTCGAAACCTTCAATGGTGAATATCTTTCCGTGATTCCCGAGTTAATAGTTTACCCGCGAAAATTTTCACTAGCTCGTAGGTGGTACCTGAGAGCGCAGGAACGCTGAATTTGCATGGGGCGAGGTTAAGCGTGGGCAGGGGATCATTACCCTAAAATTTCAGCCTCCTAGACACCGTGGTTCCCGAGATATTAACTTGCCCGTAAAAAACTTTGACAGGGCCGTACGAGTTACCCGCGGGTACGGGAAGGCTGAATTCGAATAGGCAAGGTTGAGCGTGAGCAGGAGGTCATTATCCTAAAATTTCAGCCTCCTCGACTCCGTGGTTTTCGAGATATTAACTTACCCGTAAAAAACTTTCACGGGGCCATACGTGTTACCTGCGGGTACGGGAAAGCTGAATTTTAATTTGCGGGGTCACACGTAGGTGGGGAACCTTCCCCTAAATTTTCAGCTTCCTAGCTTTTGTGGCTTCCGAGTTGAAAGTTGCGGACAAGTTGCTGCGGACACACACAAACACACACATACAGACAACTCCGTGACAATATGCGTTTTGTACTGCTGTTACACAGCACAAAACGCATAAAAAATGGTGCGAAATTCAGCTAGAAAATCGACAACCTAGTAAGCTCGGACAAGCAGTCGTCGTTTGGGTATTTGCAGAAGTCGATAAGCCATCCACGTGAATGTTGTCTGTTGTCCGTTCCATTGAACAAACTGATATCCGAATCCTTGAGATGTTGCACAGTACCAATAACATATTCCATTGCAAATGCCTCGATGCGGTCAAGCTGCCTTTGATCACGGAAGAAATGCCGCTATAAAAAATGAGAGATCTAGGGACAAGAATATTATAGAGGAATATTTTAATGAAAAACAAATGAAGGGTGAGGTGCTATGTT